ATATGTGCAATTCTTTTTTTTTATATTACCGTCGTTATAAAAGCGACAGTTTTGTTTTGAGTATACACAATTTTTCTCTTATATATGTATACTAATGTTTCGCCAAGCATTGATTTCTTATCAGCTCCCAATCTTAAGCACCGTTAAAATAAAGAAGAACGCGAAGTGATGCCTTTCATAGAAAGTCGATAAATGTGCAAAGTTATTCATTTACGTTTGGAGTGTGATCTGGTAATATTGTCTTGGAACAAATTGACTAAATTTGTGTGATTACTTATAAGCGCCGAACTTAAAATTCTATCGCGATATTTTAAAAAGCTTTAAGTTGAGTAAACGGTTAAATTTAATTAAAATGCCACGTGGAACCGAATTAAGTAACGAAGAGCATATTAAAATCAAAACAATGGCGGATTGCGGCGTTAAAGTAGGTGTTATTATTATTATTATTATTATTTATTGTTTTAGGCTTCCTAACGCTACAAGTTTTAAAACTTATAAATTACAGCGCTAGTCACAACTGGTAAACATATTTAAATTTGGACAAAATTGGTTCTTAAATCTAATGACATACATTGTTACATTTATTGTTGAACATTTAGATAAATAGAAATGAAGTTAAATCGAAATTAAAAAACTAAGGAAAAGGTTTTTGGGGATAAGTCGCAATGTTAAAATAGGATAATATACCTTATAGTAGACTAGAACTGCTATTCTTTAGGTGTGAGAGAAGTTTTGTCTTAAATAGTGTTGCGCTCCTAGTTTCTTTTATGTAGTTGGGAAGCTCGTTCCACGTTCTAATCGCATTTATAAAAAATTGTCTATTTGAAAGCAGAAACCTGTGTCGGATGCAGATAATATTCTTTGTTCTTGTAGATCTGGAGAATTGTAATTTTTCAAATAAGTACGATGGCTCCCTGGTGTATATAACTTTGTGTAAAAAGATTATTGTTCTACTTTTCATATAATCTGCCAAGCTTATATCAAATATCTTGTAAGAAGATTGAGTTACATGGTCAGATCTATGCAAATTAAATATAAAACGCGCAATACTGTTGTATGCTATTTTCAGCTTATGTTGACTTGCTACATCACAATTTGCATAGATCTCTAGACCATAAAAGAGTGTGGGTATTATACAAGACTTGGCAATTAGAAGACGCACACTAACAGGTAAGGAACATTTAACTAGTGACAAGGATCTTATTAGTCTGTATGTTTTGCCTACAGCTTTGTTTACGTGGTCATTCCAGTTCAAGGTTCTATTAAATGTGATACCCAAATTATTGGCGGTTTCCACGTACTCAATTGGTGTTTTGTTAATCATCAAGGGGGACAGTTCAATATTGCATAATTTCTTCTTAAAAATGATTAAGCACTTTGATTTCAATGGATTGATGGCTAGACCGTTGTTTTTTGCTCATTCATTTACTCTTCCAAGCTCCATTCTACAAATATCTAAACACTCACTAATTCTGTTTAAGGGACGACTAACATACGTCTGAACATCATCAGCATATAAATGGACATTACATTTCGACAGCACAGAAGTAAGATCATTTATATAAAGTGTGAATAATAGTGGTCCAAGAACCGAACCCTGGGGTACACCACGCTTCAGATAGGCAAACGAAGAACAAATATTTGACGATACAACATATTGACGACGATTTTTAAGATACGAACACAAAAGTTTGACGGCATTATTGGAGAAGAAATACAAATTTTTGAGTTTTGAGCACAGGATATCATGATTAACTGTGTCGAACGCTTTGCTGTAGTCCAGCAATAGTAAGAAGGTGACATACGAGTTGTCCGTCTGTTGACGTATATCTTCGGTTATTTTTAAGATGGCTGAAGTGCAGCTACGATTTCTTCTAAATCCAGATTGATGGTCATTTAAGAGGCTATTGACAGATATAAAATTATTTATTTGTGATGCGACAATATTTTCAAACACCTTCGAGAGGTACTGAAGAATAGATATCGGCCGATATTCTTTGTTTGATTTTGGTATTGGGATAATTTTGGCGGTTTTCCAACAATCAGGGAACGTAGACGTGGTAAGAGCCGTGTTAAATGTGTGCGTAAGGTATGGGATAAATTTAGGAAGTAGAATTTTTATAAATTTAGGATGAATATGGTCAGGTCCAATTGCGTTAGACTTAATTTTAAGAATATTATCTAAAACATCACATTGGTCAACACACATAAATCTAAACCTAGTATCACAGATGTTTTCAGGTACTGAATTCAGGTACGTGTTGGTTGTGACCTCTGGAACTTGGCATTCTGCTAATTTAAGGTTGAGTTCATCTATGTCAACATCTAGTTCCTGTGATGTCTTTTGTTTACCTATCCCTAGAGTTTTAATCTGTTTCCATGTTTGACTCGAAGAGGTTGAGTTTTTAAATTTTTGGCTAAAAATGTTTGATTTTGCAGAGTCGATTAGTTTGGTAACCGTTTTTCTCAGAGATACAAACATGCTGTGGTGTTGCGGTGTTTTGTATCTTTTCCACTTCTGGTATGCTTCATTTCGTTTTATAATTGCCAATTTTATATTATTAGTAAACCATGGTTTTTCGGACGGTCGAATTGTTTTACTTTTAACTGGGACAAAACTATCGTATAAGTATAATATTATGTTGTAGAAGTTTAAGTTGACGATCGACTGTTGGCAGACTGTAAATATTGTTCCATACACACAGGTCAAATGCTTCGTTCAACAGTATGTAATTAATATTATTAAAGTCACGATAAAATATTGTATGGTCCGTGTAGTTTAGGTCAAAGGTATAAGGTCATGTTTTGAAAAGGACGGAACGATTAGCTGATCATACAAACATATTTTATTAACATCACTCACAAAAAACAAATCTAATAGTGTGTTACGTGTTCTGCTGAAGTGGGTTGGAAATAAAAGATTCACTGGTTTCAGACCTAGCGATTCCATGTTGCTGGTAAGGTGAGATTCCCTCAGAATATCACTATTAAGATCGCCTGCAAGGATTACATCAGTGAAGTTTACTGTAATGTCTGTCAGAATATTGATTAAATCATCATAGTTTGTGTTGCAATGCGGACGATAAATGCAGCCAATTAACAGATTTTTCTCAATAATCGGGTTTTGTATTTCAAGAAAAATATATTCTATTGCACTGTTTATTTTGTGTTGGCAAATAATTTTGGCTTTTAATTTTTTGTTTACATATATAGCAACTCCTCCCCACACGATCAGAACGGTACACATTATATCCATCACACGATGCTACAACAATAAACAGACATCGCAATACTATATCAAATTTTCTAAAGTCTCCGCAAAAATATGCTCAGAACAATCGAAAAGGTGCAGTTCCTAAGGTTGATGAGCGGACTAAACGCCACGTTCGAGCTTTTGCAACCGAAAAAATGATGAGTTGCGCCCAAATTAAAGCAGAACTGAAGTTGCCAATAACTAGGCAAAGAGTGCAACAAATTTGCCGAAAGGATTTACATCTTCGATACGAAGCTAAGGTGCCAAAACCTAAGCTATTACGACGCCATATAATGGCCAGACTTGCTTTTTACGAAAAATATAAATTTTGGGCCAATGAATTCCATAATGTCGTCTTTAGCGATGAGAAGAAATTCAATTTAGACGGCCCAGATGGAAATCAAAAGTATTGGCGAGACCCCAGACATCCCCGGTTGACTTGCCACAGACGCAACCATGGGGGTGGGTCAATATGCTTTGTACCAGGTCGCATGAATGCGGAAATATATACGGATCTCTTGGAAAGTGAGCTTATACCATTTTCTGAAGAGTTCCATAGCGAGGATTTTGTGTTTCAACAGGATAACGCTCCTATACATTTTGCACGGTATACGAAGATGTTTCTGGAATCCAAAAAAATCCCCTTGATGCAGTGGCCTGCTATAAGTCCAGACTTAAATCCGATTGAGGAATTTTGGGGTATCCTATCAGCTAAAGTTTTCAGAGGTGGAAGGCAGTTCGAGACCTTAAAGGACTTAAAGGAGGCAATTGTTAAGGAATGGGCAAACATTGATAAACCTGTCCTGCAGAACTTGGTTAATTCAATGCTTATCAACTCAATTTTGCACAAATATCAATTTTCTATGAACAATAGTTTTAAGTTATTTTCTAAATATGGAACAATTTGTTATTAAATATTTTTTTGGCTCATTCATTTTGTACATTTACTACCTACATAAAAAAAAAAATATACAAATTTAACATGAAGAAGTTAAAAAAAAAACAACAAAATCTCGATGCACATATATCAATTTTACTGAGGTATATATGTCAGAAATCACCGAAGCTATAATTTGTTTCATATTATTTTCCCGCCAATTTATAGTCGACCGATTTTGATAAAATTTAATTCAAAATTCAAAACTAATTAAAAAATGTTGTTTCCAAGTTTAGGGGGTTATATGTTAAAAACACGGAAGCTATAATTTGTTTCATATTATTTTCCCACCAATTTTCCGATCGTTCCTATGGCAGCTATATGATATAGTCGACCGATTTTGATAAAATTTAATTCAAAATTCAAAACTAATTAAAAAATCTTATTTCCAAGCTTAGGAGGTTATATGTTAAAAAACACCAAAGATATAATTCAAAAAAATTTTTTCCGATTATTCCTATGGGAGCTATAAGATATAGTTGTCCGATCCGGTTGGTTTCGACTTATAAACTACCTGCAAAAGAAATAAGACTTTTGGGAAAGTTTTAGCCGGATAGCTTTAAAACTGAGAGACTAGTTTGCGTAGAAACGGTCCGACAGACGGACATGGCTAGATCGACTCGTTTAGTGATGCTGATCAAAAATATATATACTTTATGGGGTCGGAAAAGTCTCCTTCACTGCGTTGCAAACTTCTGACTGAAATCAAAATACCCTCTGCAAGGGTATAAAAACAAAAGGGAACATGCAAGAAGCGCGCGGTTTTTCTCGTCTCTTGCATTTCTTGTCACTTGCATATTTAATGTGAAAAAGAAAAGTTCAGCTCCGCGTGTTTTATTACATTTTGATTTTTGCCACCACCATTTGATTATTATTTTCTCAGGTTAGTGAAATGTATGTAGTGTAGTGCAAAATTAAAATATGTAATTGAGTGAAAAGTTAAATGTGCTTGATATTCATATCATGTCAATGTGAATTGATATCATCTTAGAAATCAACTTATTTTTACTGATAAATGTTAAAAACGGAACGATAAAATGTTTCCTTTCACAAATAATTTATTTATAATAATTTACGGCTAAATAACTGAAAATTCTCAATAAGGAAAATTTGGATATCAAAAGTTCATCTGCTAACTTGATGCACATAAAAAAAAATTAACTTACATTTGTTTGAGGCGTGCTCTCAAAAATTCATTTGTCGCCTTTTATTTTAATATAAAAGTAATTTATTGTATATTTATTAATGTTTCTTTTTGGTTTAATTTAATTTTTTTGTATTATTTTTCAAAGTCAATTATATCAAAGCAGGTACTTATTTTTAAATTCTATAAATTTGCGTTTGGCTAATAGTTTTATGTGTTTTTTTTCTCTGTCTTTTTTAGGATTTTTGCATGCAAGTCGGGCGACTTTATATGCTTTATAGCAGCTATAGCAACGATCTGCAAAAATGTGCATACTTCGGTAAGTAAGCTGCCGTTCACATTTAAGAGAAAAATTAGTTATAATTTCCTCGAATTGCAAAGTGTCCCGATGTCCTTGGAGGAGAAAAGGTCCTCGGGGCTGGAAGGTCGGATCCAACGTTTGGAAGACGAAGTTCCCGGGATGGGCAGTGAAGTTCGCAAGATGCGGGCTGATTTAGAGGAGTTGAAGGCAGTGAACTCTGCAATACTTGATTCCACTGCCCAGATGTTGGCCATCTGGAAAAAAATTGCACCAGCCGAGCCAATCTTAAAGTTGGACTTCCCGATTAGAACCCTGGACCACTTAAAGGAAGTGGATGATAAAATATATGGGAACATGGAGAAATATGTAAGTTTCCGAGATCAAACCGTTCATTTCTTAAATCAGAAGTTGAATCAAAAAACATCAAAGATATATCAAATAAAATTGTTTCCATATTTTTACCCTCGCAGAGGGTATAATGATTTCAGAAAAAAGTTTACAACGCAATGTAGGAGACGATTGTGACTGAAACGCTTGTCTAAAATGCTAGATGGTTTAGTAGCTCCATCTGTGGGTCCGATTAAACCCAGCGGTGGCGCCACCTGTGACAGGCCCAGAAAGGGGTTATAGGTAGCTGGTGGGTCTAGGAGAATAACAGCGGCAAATGTCAAGCGGCCCCAGAAATTCACCATGCCCCACGATCGAGGTTACCGGCGGGTCGGCAGCGGCGGATGCTGTCTTTTCCTTTTCGGCAGCGGCAGCGTATAGACGCAGTCAACTCAAGTCAGTTCGCGAGTGACCTAAAAGGGAAATTTTCCACTTGCTTAGTTTTCGGTTGGATCGCGCCCAGACTGGTGAGTTTTTGATAGAAAAGGGAGTGTTTAGGAAATTGAGTTCAGCCGGAAAATTATTGTAGGCGGTCGGCTGTAGGCGATTCGGAAAGTCCGCGAGAAGGCGCTGGAGAAGGAAAGAAAAAGAAAACGGATGTGGATCTTGGTGCCAAACGCAAGCGGGAAAATCGGCGGCCAAGCTGAAAAGTCGGCGGCAGCAGCGTTGGAAATCGAGCGTTAATTTTATATATACAATTTCAACCTAACCTGACCCAAATTTTACCAGCTGCGTGTGACCCCATAACCCGAGGCGGTACAGGCCGTGTATTTGAGAAATAAGAAGGAGAGGAGAGTTCCAATTTAGATACCCGCAGCGTTAGAAGTTACAAAAATCCCGACCTACGACAGCAAAATTTAAATTGAGCCGTAAAAGCAACCGCCAGTCGCCTTCGTTGCGCTCCGTCGCAAAAAGAAGAATTTAGAAAAAAATCAATTTACGCGGAAGTAAACGTTTTTTTTGCACCAGCCGCACGCGTCGGTGAAAGCCTGTAGTTACTGCCCGCGAGTTAGTCGGCGGCTAGAACATAATTTAAGCAAATTAAGTGTAAGCATAGTTTATTGTGTTGGTGCTTGTGAATATGTGGGTGTAATAGTGCTTTGGGCAGCTAGCTAAGGAAGAAAGAAGAAAAAGGCGAGCATGCAATGAATTTTTACATTTTTGCTGTGTCGGTATGAGTGTCTCCTTTTCCCCTCTTCTTTTTTTGCATTTTCTTTCCCCCTTCACAGCTCTCATCATCCCGAAGAAAGCGCTTTCGTCGATGGATTTGAAACAGTCGTGAGTCCAAATCTTCATCTACTTATTTCATAAAAGAAAGGGAGTAGGAAGGAAATGGAATAAATTGGAGGGTGAGACGTAAGAAGAAAAGACCAGAAGGGACGGCCGAATGAGCAAGGAATAGAAAGAAATTTACGACAACGTCTGAGCGAACCGGGAAAGCATGAGCTAAAGAAAGCTCGATCGCGTAGATCCCAAGCTCTTCGTTCGCTTTGAGTTTAGTTTTATTTGCCAGTCGACGAAATTGTCTGACTAATTTTCCATAAATCTTGATTTCGAAATGTCCATAAAGAAACCCTAATATTAGCAAGCAAGGCAAAAAAAAAAAAAAATCGTACCATTAATAATTTAGGCAAAGTCCACCAAGGGGATTTGAGAAATCGCTTACCAGTTTTTGTCCCAAAAGTCTTTAATCTTGTAATTTTTAAATTGTCGTCTATTCGCATGAGATTTTATATCGTTTACCTTAGGAAAAGTTATGTTTGTATTTTACTATAATTAAAATTTTTATAATGTGCTAAAAGGAATTAGTGTTGGCCGCGGCTGGCGTTGACCTGCAATGAAGGAGTGCACTTGAAAAAAGAAGGGGTCGCTCAGGCTGTTAAGCGCTGAGGGTAAGAGCGACCATTGGTAGGGTGGGCATGACCAAGACCTCCAGAACATCGAGGGAGGCGAGAAGGGCAGATCAGTCGGAAAGGGAGTATATAAGAAAGGTCCAGCATCATGTAGTGTGTGATATTCTCTATACCGGTCAGATTGGTGAGGCACGCGAATATCGGAGTTTTATTAGGAAAAGGCATTCCGAGATGTCGGCAAGACCATCACACCCATAGCCGAAGAGCCAGAGCCGGAGAATAACTTATCGCGTGCGCTGGCATCTCGAGGTAACATCTGGCCTAAAGTTTTTATAAGTGTAGCGGTTCGTTACAAGACATGTATTTTTATCTGGTCAATTCCAAAATTGTAGCATTATCTGATATTTCAAATAGTTTTGAATCCTGCCTTAGCGTAGATAGGAAAGATAAACTTTTAAAACCTTGAAGGATTGTATTGCGTTGCATTTTAATGCAGGAGGTCCAAGGGAGCGGGGGCAAAGAGAGCGAGAGGAATTACGTCACAACAGGAGATAAAAATGTCTTTATAAATTGCCACTCTAGTCGACCTGCTTTCATCTGCGCAGTCGGAGTCGGAACATTCCCGTAGTATGTTCTACGCGTCGCAAGAAGAGCTCATTCTAGAGTCTCGACTAGGGCTGTCGAATTTTTTAAAAATATCGTATCGATGATATTTGGTTTTTGAAAAAATATCATGATAATTGAAAATATCAATTTAAAATATCGATATATCGATGATGTTTTATATTTTTTCAAAATATTTAAATTTAAATGGGAGAGGACACCATAGGCTGCTCGTTTAAACTTCACAGCGGACAGTACCCTTAATATGTTGCTTTAACAAGCAAGACATGAAAAAATTTAAGAAATCGAAAAACTGTATTTTTATTAAATACAAGGATGCTAAAATGATCCAATAATCACGAATTTGGCCACCAATTTTCCGATCGCTCCCATGGCAGTTATATGATAAGGTCGTCGTAGGAGGTTATATGTTAAAAAACACCAAAAAAATACATTTTAAAATTTTTTTTCCGATTATTCCCATGGGAGCTAAAAGATATAGTTGTCCGATCCGGCTGGTTCTGACTTATATACTACCTGCAAAAGATAGCAGACTTTTGGAAAAGTTTCAGCCCGATAGTGTTAAAACTGAGAGACTAGTTTGCGTAGAAACGGACGGACAGACGGACATGGCTAGATCGACTCGTCTAGTGATGCTGATATATATATACTTTATGGGGTCGGAAAACGTCTCCTTCACTGCGTTGCAAACTTATGACTGAAATCATAATACCCTCTGCAAGGGTATAATAAATATTTTTGATTATTTCTCTGACCGTTTCTTTGACAGCTATATGTTAGAGTCGTCCGATTTTTATTAGAGGTTGGAGTGAGTGTGTCAACCAGCAAGACGGCAAAAATGTTGCTGAAAGGGCAGCTTTCACGCACAAGGAGACCGACGGTACGGTTTGCTGGAGCAAGTCTGCCTTACGTCACCAAATGCCGGTACCCTGGCATCTTAGTCGGCGAGCGGTTGAGTTTTCTCCAGCATATCTTAGCTCTTAGAGGTCGGCTAGCTGGAGTTGCCGGAGGGCGGGTGCTCCGAGTCGATTGGGGGCTTAGCTCCCGTGCTAAGAGGACGGTTTACAGTGAAGTTCAAGCTGAGGAAGGATGTTCCCCTGGCTCCACGGACAGGACTTGTCTGTGTTGGACTGGAAAGCTAAGATGGCTCTGCTAGACGAACGTCTGCTAAATGAGTGGCAACTCAGATGGGATCGCGCGGAACACGGCTCCGTGACTCGCGAGTTTTTCCCAGAGGCAGCATTCGTTTACAAGAGGAAAGACATTGTCTTTACCCTGAAAGCCGGATTCTTGCTGACAGGACACGGGTCGATCAACGCATTTCTGCAGGGCAGGACTCTCAGCACCACGACCGCATGCTCATGTGGCGTGGAGAGGACTGGCTTCACATACTATGTGAATGCCGCCTGTACCACGATTTATGGGACCTGGATGCCCTTGGAGTCGTTCGAGACCAGGGAAGATGGATCGTCGCGGGAGTAGCTGAGACCCCAGAACGGATGCGTCTCCTAGGAGACTTTGCCTGAGGCCTACCGAGCCTGTAATTTCGAGCAGTTCCAGGACTGCTCATTGAGGTTGACCCCCGAGTGGGAGTATCGTGGTGGCTGTGGTTGACACCTATATCGCGGGTAGAGTCTTCGGGCTCGACGTGGATGTTGCGTTATACAACTCGGGTGCTGTGACCCACAGAACGGTAGAGATTTTAGATAGATCTCGCCCCTACGCAAGAGGGAGTGCCTGCCCGACAAGTAAATACTTAAATTGCTACTGGGGTAGTTGCTATGTAATAGCTATAGCTTCTAGTCCGGGGCGTTGGTTTGGCGCTTTGCCTAGACCCGTGCATTATATACTTCCTTTATTGTGAAACATGTCACGTTAGATAAGAGCGGAGGGATCCGATTCTTACTGTCCCTATCAGACGTGTTTAATTTTTTCTCTGTTTGTAAATTCGCTTTCTGCGTTTGCGGAGTGGTAACATTGCCGGAAACAGTGCTAAGCTCCTTGGCTTGAGTACGCGGACGGATAGTATTGTTCGCGTAGCTGTGCATGGATGAGGAGCGTGAGGAATCACGGTTCACATTTGCTTGCAATTGTTGAAAATTTTGTTAATTTGTTTTCAATTGAGTGAATGCATTTTTTAAACTAATTTTTTGCACCGCCACGAAGATGTCTGAGGATTCACGGAGTGAGGGTAAAATGAGGAGAACTCTTCCTAGTCAAGCGAATCTACCCAGAATGGTGTCAGCAAGTCCTCCAATGGCAAGGAAAAGTCTCAAAACGATAGCTCCTCGAGCAAGGACCAGCTGAAAAGAAAGGCCAGGAGGTAGCCGATCAGAGAACAAAGTGATAGCTAAAAGCAAGGAAGTGGTAGCCCAAAAGGAAGACACAGAAGTTCCCTCCAAAAAGAAAGGCCAAGAAGAGACCAAAAGGAACAAACAAAAATAAGATCGAAAAAAATTAAGAACATTTTTCACGATTTGAGAACGATCCGTTCGCTATTTTGTGTTCATAAAAGAGAACACTGCGGTGTCAAATAAAGAACATTTATGTAAAATTATAAACGAGTCACGGAAAAATGCTTAGCTTTGAACGGTATGGGGTCATATTATAACACCCTTCTAAGATTATGAACACCATTCATGAAAACAAACAGGTTGTCGATACTCGAAAAGTTC